GGACAATATTAGATTTTGCTTTTAAAAATATAATTTTTTTTACTATTTATTCACTATTATTATTTACTAGATTAACTATATATACTATAATTTATTGAAAGATAAAATAGAACAATGTAAGCAATTTACTCTCAAATTCACTTGTAATATCTAAAATATTCTTCATATTTAAATTTGTAGTTAAATTTAACTCTTATTTTAGACTTTAAGGCTAAATTGACTCAATTTCTAATAATCAAATTAAAGCACTAAAATGAGACCATGTAAAACTCTAAGACTAAATCGTACATTTATCCATAGTTGGAAGACTATTTTGAACTATTACTCTTATAGAAATTGACCACGATATGAAGAGGCCTAAGTCATTCTGAATCAATTTAAATGATAAATTGATAGCATTGTGTCTGCCTTCCAACTAAGGAAAGCCCCATTGATGCGTGAAATTATTCTGTGCGGACACCGGACGGTCCGGAGACCAATCAGAATGCGCCACGTCATCCAGTACACAGCAATACCGACCACCGGTACCAAGCAAAAAAGTGACATGGCTCATTCTGATTGGTCTCCGGATGCTGTCCGAAGTCCGCACTGAGTAATTCTTTCATTGACTCCTTTTCTAAGATGGAAAATGGGAAATATTTTTTGCAGTCATGGGTCATTTTTTAGTTGGCCAACAGATGCACCTTTATGTCCGCTATCAGCACATAATAATTTCTTTTATAGCAGATCTCACCTTTTGGGCACAAGAGACTCCACTTGCAATGGAAGAATCATAAGTTGCTCCACCCCTTGAAATTTAAAATGGATCCCAACATCCATAATATGAACTTTTTACCCTTAAAAATTCTCTTTCAGCCATTTTATAAGCTCTTTCACCTCCCCTCACTGCCAGTGCTCCACCACCTTAGGAGAAATTATTATGTGTGGAGATCGGATGCAAAACGTCGTCCGGACACCACGTCAGTAGTACTGAGCTGCGGTACTGAGCAGTACCGATCCGCGTTAGCCAGCAAGGGATGACGTGGCGTATTCTGATTAGTTTCTTGACGGCGTTCGCACATAATAATTAATCCCACCTTAGAGCCTTTGAGCCGAATTTTTATTCTGTGCAGAGTCTGGACCGTCCAGAGACCAATAAAAAAGTGCCATGATATCCAAAGAAATACACCTTGGTACTACTTAGTATCTGAGCGCAGAACCAGACAGAAGAACCGTTCCGTGTTTGCACAGAATAAGCAACTTTCAGCCACGCATCTACCACCGCCTAATGACATGACCTTCACCATCTTTCTTGAGCCTAGTGTCTCACCTTCAAAGCTTAGGTTTTAGAGTTAATTAATTCTGTGCAGGAATGCATGCTTCTGAGCTATGGAAGCCCCAACACTAATAATTTTTCTAGACAAGCAGAAGTTTCTGTCATTAAAAAACATTCAAATATTTACAATCGACAGGGTCCATTTTTTTTTTAATTTTACTTATAAGGTTCTATTTCTGTATTTCAGATAATATATAAAAACGGAAGCACATAACTAAGCACGTGAGTAATAAGAATAAACACATGAATTTACATCGATCAAGGATAAACAACCCAAAGATTAGTCCCAAGTGTCAGTATTCTTGTATTGAATAAACAGTAACTTGTAAAACTTTGCTGAAATATAAAGGAAACTTCCATAGTTTATTCTCTTCTTACTTGTGATGAGAGTAGATCAAAGAACTCAGATGATGCGGGGCTCCAGCTTCGACAGAGAAATTCAAGAGCTTGATTTGGACTTTTAGGAACTTCAGAGGTATGGTTCTCTACAGACTTCCCTGGTTTCTGCACCTTCCCAGCTTTCGCTTCAACTTTTACTGCATTCAATCTCCTATTCTACATCAAAAGTGAAACAACCAGAAAACAAAATTTGAGAACCATGTAAATCTCCTCAGAAACTACTGAGATTAATTAATGTACACAAATATTGCACTTACAAAGATAGATGGAACCAAAGTATTATTAAAAGTGAATGATACTCTCCTTGATTCCTCCATAAAATGTTTCAAACAAAGGCCTGTAACTGAAGAAATTCTCTTAATCAGTTGAGCAAAGCTTCACAATTTGCTTTTCTCAGCTGTCTGCAAAAGAAACTTTAATGATCTTCCAAGCTTGCATTGAAACAGAAAAAGTATGAACCTTTAATAAGGTGGAAGGAAGAGTACAATGCTATATAAAGTGGATCATCACTTTCTACAGTACAAAACAATAATAAACAAAGAGGAATTGGACGAAAGAGCTCACTTACTCTAAAAGAGGCCTCTATATATCTTTTAGAAAAAAAACTGCCAGCTTGTTCTTATCACTAGCCGAGTCTTCTATATATACATACTAAAAGAAGAAAACAAGTTACAGTGTATTAATTTAAGTGATCATATCATGCATAATACGTGTGCATACAATGACCATAAGAATTGGATACCTTCCAAAGAGAATCGTGGTTACCTTTGGCCCACTAATGAAATTATATAAGATATGTTTTCCTCTGATAAAACAATAATATTTTTCAGCTTTCTGAAAAGCAGATGGAATTTAAAGGAAGAATGATGAGTTTTTTAATGGATTGAAATACTTTCAGACGATTTAAGCACAAGATATATCAGTCATAAATGTTTGCGATCGAATAGAATAATTATTGGAGGAATAGTTACAACTGTTGACACTTCAGCAGACACAGTTCTTACCACTCATCAGGATTACTGGCAATCCAAAGACTGCAATAATTGGCATGTAGCGGTTGGTAATTTGGTGGAAGAAAAAGTTCCTTTCTAAAATAAAAGAGAATTTGATTGGTGGATGTATCAAGAGATCTCCTTCTTCATTCAGATTTAATTGGAATTTTTTATGAGATATGTATAACTGAAAAGAATCAGGTGATTATTTTCAAGAGATTTGGAAAATCATGAACTGATTTGCATAGCTGTTACTTTGCTCCTTTGATTTTCCATGCAAATCCCCATCTATAAATACTAT